CCTTTTTAGTTTTAGTCATATTTAGTCATGTTTTAGTCGACTAAATGTCTGAGCATTTTAGTCTTATTTTATTCAAAGAAAACTGTTGAGTCTTTTTTAGTCATCAGATTATACAGAACATTTCAGTCAAACTAGCCAAAACCAATCATTTGTCATTTTAGTCAAATGTATTTCACAATAAGATGACATCTTGTCCTTATTGGATGAAAAACAGGTTGAATGATTAAGAAGCTTTGCAGAGAGTATCTGGTCAGGTGTGTGGTGTTTATACCAGCTGTGTTTTGGCCACATTGCTTCCCTTCTGATGAAACAATGCATTCACTTTTTTCCTCCGCCTCATGTTAGTGAACATGGGCTCAAATATCAGATCGTTTCTTTCTCCCAAGCAGTGGTGGCTTTAGACTTTTTCGTTGTCAGTCATTTTGACGGACAGGATTGTAACATTTCCGTCATAATCCATTATTACCCGTCGAGTGCACAATTTATCACTCACTCGCGCTAACGGGGGGGTATTCGGTTAGCGTGAGTGCGACCACTGCTCCCAAGCCCTGTTGTTGCCATTTTATTTTCTGTTAAATAAGGTTAGTTAGACCATGAGTTAGACCCGAGTCTTCCTGACAGTTCACATTGTGCCGCTGCCCGGTGTAATTCAAATGTACCGCCGCGCGCAGCACGGACACACAGCTGCTGCCCAGCCGCGGCACCGGAAATGGAACTGCTGGGAGAAAAACTGACTATCAGAGATGTAACGTTATCTTTGATAATATTTCGTCTCGTCACTTTTCGTCAACGATATTGCATGATGATTTCGTTACAGTTATTGTTTACTGCCGTCGATGCCGTCTCGTCATCGTCTCGTTTTCGTCATGGAAAAAAAGGTCGTTGACGAACATATTTTGTCATAGTTTTAGTTAAAACAATTAACACTAGTATAAACACAGAGGTGAATTTTGTCATCTAAAGATTCACTATTAACTATTGTAGAGGGAATCTTTGGCACAATCTTAGGCAGTCAAACATATTTCTTTAGCTTGCCTAAGTCTGTCCTCCTGTAAGTTGGGAGTAAACTTAATTTGTCTTGTGTGTCTTTGTGTCTCATCCCCTGTAGCAGGATAAGCAGATACTCCTGTCTAGAGATGGTTTAGAGGCAGATCTGCCCCCTCCACCTCCTCCACCCCCTCCACCCAGACCTCATCTCAACGACAATAGGCCCAACGGTCAGCCGGGAGCCTGTGCGGAGCCAGAGGCCACCTCAGGAGACCCCCTGTCAGCAGAACCCCTGTCAGCAGAACCCCTGTCAGTAGGAGAGCCAGAGAGTCAGGACCCCGACACAGCAGACAGCTCTGGGCAGTAAGTAACAGACCAGGGGCACATTCGCAAATATTCTGACACTCTGAGAGCTCCTAACTTAACCATTTCATGTTTAGCGTGGAGTCCGTGCTCAGGAGTGATTTAGGAAACTAACAGGGCTTTGACAGAGATTTTACCAGTGTGGTTGGGAAAGTTGCTAGGTATGACAAATCCCCTCAAAAGGATTCATTTTCTGATTTAAATAAAATAAAAGCACTCGTATTGACCATGAGGATAGAATCGGAAGTGAAAACAATAAAATTATAATAATGATAAAAATATTCACTTATATAAAAATGAGCTTTCAAATTGCTTCATAGAAACAGAAAATACGCAGTTTAAATATAAATTAGAACAAAGGACATTTGCGGTAGCCAATTCACATACTATTTATTTGGTTTTATTTATTAACCATCCTGTTAGTTTTAGTATTTTATTTTAACTCACTGTCATTCAATGTTTGAAAAATATTTCTTCTACCTATCTATGTTTCAAGATGTTCTCCTCTGTTTAAGAACCTGAAGCCTCTGAAAAGTGCTCCTTTCAACTCCTAAGAGTTAACTTAGAAGCTCTCCTAAGGGCTGAGATGCTTTATGTTTTATCTTTACCAGGATCCAGTCTTAACCGTAATAGGAAATCATTCTTAGAATTAGATGTATGAATACAGCCCCTGATCTCTAACCATCTTATAGTTTCATTTGACATTTATTATGTAATAGTTTTCTGGCAGATCAGTGGCACTGTGCTTCAGAAAAGCTGACTTCCTACTGTTACCTTGATCTTGTTTCAGTGTGAGAAAGCGACATCGTGAGGAGAGGATCGCCAGCACCTCCCAGAAGGTCCAGCAGATGAAACAGAGACTGAGCGACTCGGAGAGGAAACGGGACAAATGGCTATACTGGAGACCCATCCTGCTCAACGTGGGGGCTGGGGCAGCGGTGGCTGTGGGCCTGCTGGTGGTCTGGATGTACGCCCAGTGAAACACTCTGGGTCACTTTAAACGGACTCCTATTTTGCACCAGTACCTGGGATTAGGTACTTCTCTAAGTAGATGTAGATGGTCAAATGTGCATAACTGAGGGTATTTATTTCTTACGGTCAAAATGCGGGAGCGCTAGATCAAATGATTGTGTGTATATTTTTCATGTAAGATCAAACAAACTAGTAACATCTCAGGATCTTGGTGCCAGCACGATGATTTCATTTTATTTTCTTCTTGTCACTCGATGAATGTACTGTATCATTGCAAATAGCTTTGGAAGAAACTTATTGAAGGTCCGGTACAAAGCAAAAAAAAACATTATCTATGATGGTCAGATTTGTGTTGATCATCTGTGGACACGTTTTACACTTGGCTTTATAAAATGACTTGTGTTGATTGTCCATCCTACCATCGATATGTAAGAAGACTCCAGTTCCTATAGGCTAGCTGTGTGGTTTTCCTTCATTTGTTTGTCTGTAGTGAAAGGTGCATATCAGACATGCATATAGAAGTTTTCCAGAGCACCCCACTTGTTCTTCCATTCACATTAAGCAGGGCATCCCAATAGGGCCAGATATATATTTGTTTGTGACTGGACACTTCATAGGGAGCTGCCTTGATGATGTTTCAAACTCTGCTAGAATTGTAATCTTATTATTTTCTGTTCTATGAGCACCTTTTTAAAAGATTTTGGTTGTCACATGGATCATATAAGCTGTCGGGTCCCTCACCGCTTAGTGTGTGTATTTACCCACTGGATGGGTTCATGTGTGTATGTTCATGTTGTCCCACTGTTGTTTTTATGGAAACCAAAGCAAGGCTGTCCTTTTTTGGACGGTAACAGCCAGGCAAGCTGTTCAGTGATGAAACCTTGTACTCCCATGTGGAATGTGTTGTCCGTTGGATTTCTGACAAAACTGCATTACAAAATGATTCATATTAGCTTTACGTTGTGTGTGACTTCTTAATTTGAACCGGTAGAATCATCACTTGTCATTTGTTTTCCGTTGACTAGGACCAATCTAAAGCTATAATGGTGCAATTTAGAAGTTGTAGCGGAGAACCTTGGATAACATTTGAGTTAGGAAAGAGTGATAGCATACACGTTTGTATCTATTTGTTTGCTGGTTGAGATAGCTTTTAATGTGCCTTGAAGTGAAAAAAATGTGTGCTCCAAGGTTTCCTAGTATACAGATTAAGGTGAGGAATAATATTCCACATAACATGAGTAACATGTTAGAACTGCATTGACGGGTTTGTAGTTACTTGAGGTGTGAGTTGATTGTAGACCTAATGTGTCATTAGCATGTACTGATGTCTGAGAGGAAATTGTGTGTTGCTAATTTACTAGTTACCACTGATGGACATGGCTTTTACTTAGTTCTTATTTAACCCAGAAGAGACACATTTGATCATAACATTCCATTCATTCTTGTTTTCCACATAAGATTTCAGGGGAGTTTTGTAAACTGCTGAGCTGCAGTGAGAACATGAGAGATGGCTTTTGAAGACGAAAAAAAAAGCAAACAAACATGAAATACTTCTTAAAATAAACATTCATCTTTTTTACCAAATCATGCTGTCTGCTTGTATTTTTTCTTTAATTCTGGGTCCACCATCAGCTCTCAGCTCCCTGCACTGCAGGGCTGTGCATCATTTAATTCTGACCATGAGCTAAATCAACAGCCAGACCGGAGGCCTCAACATGGATTCCAGGAATTTATTCAATATTTCAAGAAGAGGCCTTGCTCATATTGACCACTGTAGTAATTTCATTTTATCTTGTCTGTTGACTGGCATCTGCTTATTTGGAGTAGGCCTACTATTACTAGAAAAAATAAACGTAAAACGGATATATTAGTAAGTCAAGTTTAGAGTAAGAATAATTTAAATCTTGTAGCTCAATGGGTGAAAAAATAAGTAACAGGTGCACTACAAAGGGGTCCTCACAGATTAAAAAACAATAGGACGACTGATATAACCCTGAATAAAAGAGCGGATCAAAATTCTACCGAAATTATATAAAACTAAAGCAGACATGACTTAACATAAATCATTTGGTCAGTGATATCAAAATGGACGTATATTATTTATTTGTTCTAAGACAGAGTAGTTGAAAGCGACAGTTGTCCTCAGGACTCTGCCAGGCTTCCCTGGAGCCACATTCCCGCTTCCTGTTCCGCCACAGTTTAAAACTATGGCAGTTGTGGCTATCCTCCCCAACGGGCTGCCGTCATAGATATTTGACTATGTTACAGACGAGACATGTTTACAAGGATTGAGATATTACTCAAACACACGTGTATCGTTACTTATTGTACACTATTAAAAAGGTAGCAAGGTATTTGTGCTCAGAACGCTCCCGGACTCCTCAGCAGCAGTGATGTCCCTTTCTCCGGAGAGAGCCTCCGAGCTGAAGCAGATCATCCACAACCATCTTCTGAAGGTGAGCAAACCGCTGTAACTTCGGAATGCTCAATAGGCTAGGTTTGGTAGTTATGCATTGTGTTTTCGAAGGTAGACCGGTATGCTAAATAACTGGGGTTACGTACAGTAAAGGCCCAGATACACCGGCCAGTCACCTGAGAAGTCGCCGACACCGACTGTTGCGTCGCCGGACTCTCCTGCGTATTTGCCGACTTCGCGCACTGGAACCTTTATATATACAGTCAACTGACTGGAACACACCGCAAATCCGAGCCGAGCACGTATGAACTGCGCATGCATGAGTGGCAATAACTCTCCTTACCAGCAGGCGGCGGTAGTGTGTATTCATCATTCAAAAGAGGCAACAACCGGAAAACAGAGAAGAAGAAAAGACTCCGTGATATAAACAAACAACAAATAGCGTTTTTCTTTCCATTTTCACTCTCGTCCATTGAAAACATGAACGAGCAGGACGAACGGGAGGTACTGGAGCTAGCAGCCCTTGGACTCACGCTTGTGTTAAATCATTTGTTTACCTCCCTCACTTCCGTTAACGCTTCTCATTCGCTAGCTGAACAGCCAATCAGTGTTATCCCTTTGTCCGACTTCCGGTGGTGTTCTCGACGCCGATTCAACAAGAAAAGGCGTCAGGTCGGCAGAAAAGACCCGACGGTGCGGCGCACACCACTCCGAATAGGGCGTGCCCACGCTCATGTTCGGCCTGACTCCCATTTACTGCCGATTTCGGGCCGGTGTATCTGGGCCTTAAGTCCCGCCCATAAACTTCAGACCCATGGGACTTTATTTTTGGAAAAATTATATAATGAAGTCAATGGGGAGAGAAAACATATCTTTCCATCCCGTTTGAATTGTGCCATGAATTACACATATGAGGTTTCTCGATCTTTAAAAAATCATTTCCATGTCAAAAAAGTTTCAGTTTGTCGTAAAACTGTGGAAATATAAGACTAAGAGAAATACGCAACTAGAAAGACTACAAA